TTTCCTAAATCCCTGCAGCTCTTGGCAGGTTCATGTTCCCAGAACCTCTGACACTGCAGCCCCAAGTGCTCAGTGGCTCCTGGGAGGGTCCATCTGCAGGTCAGCCCAAGAGGCAGCAAGGCTCATGGTGACAGCACAGACCTGTCCTCCAGGCACTTTGCCTTGCCACCATCCCAGGGCTGCCTTTGTGGCATTTTCATTGTCGCGGAGCTGGGAAAACCCTACTCTGGTGCCTGTGCTGTCCAGGATAAATCCCTCTTCCCCCTCCCTTGCTCTGCTCCATCCATGAATACATTTCTCCTTTTTTTTCCTCTCTGTATTTTTTTTTTTTCTTTCCCATTACCCCTTTAATGCAGAGCAGGGCTGCTGATTACAAAAGAGGCAGTTTGACTTGAGCAATAGGTCTTCTTCACTAATCCTCACTGTCATGGAAATTCCAGCTGCTACAAGAATAAGAGGCTCAATCCATATTTGCCAGCTCTAATATGAAATCTGTCAGGGCCCAAATTAATGAGTTCCAAATTCCTTACATCACGATAACAGGTTAAGACTGGTCAATTAATTACATAAATCCTTCCCGATTCATTGTGCATTTTGAGGCGCGATTGTGTCTTACATAACCGGGTGACACAAGGCCTTTTGGCTCTCGCTGTTCGGCAGAAAGGCCTCCATTTAAAGCAGCCTGCCTGCCACCGAGGCCGGCAAACGTCACACCTGGGCTCTGCGCGGGGCCCTAATTGCCTTTGTATAAAAATATAAATACATTAATTAATAAATAGTAACATGTGCTTTCAAAATAGGGCGGAGCTGTGGGGGTCGGTGCGTAAGGGGCGGAGGGGCTTTCCCGTGGGGCGGCAGGTGATGCCCCCGCTACGCCGGCTGCTCCCCTCCCCAGCGCGGTGGGCGTCTCCCTGTTTCGCTCGGCTGCGGGGGGAGCTCAGGGACGGGGGGAGCCGGTGGGGAGCACGAAAACCCAGAAATGACCCAAAAACGCCCGGCCGCCCCCGCGGAGAGCCGCGCACGCCAGCGCGCTCCCGGCGCGGGGCCGCGCCCGCTCCGCCACGGCCCCGCCCGGCGGCGCCTCCCGCTGGCGCACAGCGCCCCCTGGCGGCCGGCGCGGAGCGGGCGCGGCCCCTCCTTCCGCGGGGGCGGCAGGGAGGGAGGAAAGGAGGGAGGGAGGCAAGAAAGGAGGGAGGGAAGGCGGGAGGGAGGCCGGGAGCGCTGCGGCAGCGCTGTGGCCGCCCCCGCCCCGGCTCCCCCTCCGCCGTTGCCATGGGCTGCGGTTGCCACGAGTTACCGGATGAAGGCTGGGCGGCCCCGCTCCCTGAGCAGCGGGCGCGGGGCGGAGCGGGGCGGAGAGCGCGGCGGCGCCAGGTAAGGCTCTGGCCGCGCTCCGCTCCGCGGCCCCGGGGCAGGGCAGGGTGCGAGGAAGGGCCGGGCCGGGGCGCAGCGGGGAGCGCGATCCGGGATGCTGCCGTCCTTTCCCTTTTTCCCCTCGTTGGTTGTTTTGTTCTTTTTTCCCCTCTCCCCCTTTTTCGAGTGCTCCCGGCCGCTCGCCGCTCGTAGGGAGCACACGCACGCACGGCCGCGGCCGCCGAGCATCCGCGGGCGCCCCGCTAGCAAAAAGCGAGCCCGAAGGCCGCAGTTCGATTTCTGTTTTACAAGGCCACTTGACTTAATTTATAAGGAGGTTTTGTTCCAGAAGGCAAAGAAGCGGCTTGACGCGTTATGGTGCGTTTTTAACACCGAAGCAGAGAATAATTGTGTAATAATTTCCTAAAGCGTTTAGGCCTTTCGTGAAAAGATTCAGCCTGAGACTGGAAATTATTCCTTACATTTTGGCCCCCTCGTAAAAGCTGGGGAAGAAAAGTAAAGCCCCCGATCCTTAGCCCTGAGCCTAGCCCTGCAATTATAGGGAAACGACACAGGACCATACAAGGTTTATTCTTCTTATCCATACCGTGTATAACAGAGCAAGCCACAAACATTTTTTTGTTTAATAATTCATAGTAATTATGTAAAATTTAAATGTTAATCTGGAAAACAAATTCAGTATGTCACCTATGAAAAAAATACATGGAAACCAAAGTTTGCACTGTTCTACAGTGTGCGATTTAGAGTGTAAATTTCCCTCCGTGCTTACAGAAATACATTGCAATGTAAATAACAATTTTCACTCCAATACACCATCTTTGTGGAGTTTCTTTGCTATTCTTTTTGTAGCAAATGTAAAGTGGAAACCCAAACACAGCAGAGTGTGTATATGTATACACAGTGTGTATATATATCTACACATATATATACTATATATATGTATACATATATATATGTATATATACACATATTACAAAAATAACTGAAGAATAAATTACATGTGGTAAGTCATAAAGTGATTAGGATATTGATATTGAAATAAAGGAAACCTCACTGTCAGGTTTAAACATGAGCTAGAAAGTAGTAACTTGTTTTATTTCATTACTTAAAAGCTTTTAAGAAATCATCATAAAAATGAGGACGTAAAGCTATAAGCAAAAGAGGAAAAAAAGCTTTTGAATGCAGAATTATTGCAATTAGATATAATGTAATCTGATTACTACTTCTAATTTATAAATTAGGTATTGTCCTGTTTTTTAAAAAAAGCTAGCAGGAAATGTCAGCGTTGTTCAAAACTAAAAAATGAGAATCAAAGCACCAGTGACAACTGATCAAACTGTGTGTCATAGTACTGAAAAATTACCAAATCATTAAAAAAGACATTAAAATTATTTTTTGTTTAACATTTACATTTGTAAAAGCTACATTTAATGTTTCAATGAAACAAAATACTTAAGGCCTTTATATGTGATTATATACAGCTGGTACATGAAGGAGACATAATAGAGAGCATGGAGTACTTTCCCTCCCCCATTACAAAAAAAAATTCTAGTAACACTAGCTACACAAACAACATTCAGAAGATAAATATTTGAACAAATTTCTCTAAAAGTTGAGAAGAAAGTTATAGTATCTTAGATTTTTTTAACAGAATGACAAAGAAAATAAGAGAATAACAATAGAGCTATTAGAAAAAAACATTTATTTCATAAACATCTTCATTTGGAAAACACTTGCTGGAGTACTGATAAGCTCCTAGAATTAAAAATACAATTAGCCACAAAGGCTCTCCAAACCTTGTGTTTCTGTAATTTTGGTCAGGTACTGAGGATGTGTTAGTAAGCCAGAACTGTAAAGTGCTTCAAGAGTTTAGCTCAATCTTTTAAAACAAAAGAAAAACCTACATTGTCTTAAATAAAAATGGTAATATTCTTCTCAACATTATTCCAGTTTTCCTTTTTAAATCCTTCACACCTTTTAAATAAATTTGCTAAACAATTTCTTTGTAATGTGCTATCTTAAAAATAATATGGAAAAAGAAATCAAGTAATGAAAATCTCTGACTGGCAGTAACAGCTATTTTTAAGCTGCTTTTAATGATAACTTGTTGCTTTAGTTAAACATTATCACGCTCACATTAAAAATAGCGTTGCTGCTAACTCACATAGAAGCTGAGACGGTGAATAGATACATTTGTGCAATTCAGTAAGACCGAGCAAAAAGATACACAGATATTTATCTTACAAAGTGCTACCATCAACAAAATACAGCGGCTTAAAGTAGTTACCTAAGAGATGTTCCCAGGCTACTAGAACCTGTTTCTAAAATTACACAGATTCCCAGCTGGATGCTTTAAAAGAAAAAAAAACATGCCCACACATGTTTATGCTACCCCTTAGTAGCTGTCTGTTTAATTAATAATCTGTTGTTTCTGTAATTCACAGGTTTAAAATGCTCCTTCTTTGAAAGTAACCACAGTTTTCTTTAAAAAGAAAAGGCAAAGGAAAAAAAAAGGGGGCATGTATTTACATCCATTTCTAGGCCGGTAACTACCGCACTGAAGTTAATGGGAGCTTTGCTAGGGTGATCAGACCCCCTAGCTCTTTTTAATAGCAGTTAAATGTCAGATATAAATACAGCACCACAGTGAAACATACTTCTTTGACAGGATCTGGGACAAGACACTACGCAGCTGCTGTGAACAATAAAGAGCAAAACTGACGTTTAATCAAAATAAGTGTTGGTGGTTAAGAAGTTGTGTTGAAGCCTGCCTTTTGTTTGTGAATAAAGTCAATACTCCAACGTGGTAACTACAGCCACAATGGAATCAGCAGCTCCTGTAACTCATGGGGAGTGGGGAGGGCCACATCCATGCAGGGTGTTACAGCTATGTGATTATCATCATCTCATAGAGGGAGATACTCCCCACTTCAGCTGCTCAACCAAAACACCTCTACCAGCACCTTCAAATATGATGCCTAAAGCTAAACATGTTGGGTGAAATCCTGGCCCTAGCGAGGTCAGTGCAAAATTCAGCCATTGGTTTCAATGGACCTCATCCAGGATTTTCACTGGGAATGAGTATCCATAATTCCCTGGGAGCTGAGAATCTCCAGCAAGCCTAGAAATGATGTAATTTTTATTTATATTTTTAAACTTCTAAGCAACCATGCTCAAGAATTTTTGCCTTCAGTACTTACGCATGATAAAACCAGTCTTTCCATAAACATTACAGAAGGACCAGAGGAAGATGTATTTATATCTCAAATTGTCAGCAGCATATAGTTTGTACCAATGTTGTTTTGCTGATGTTGCTGAGCTACTTTAAAAAGTGAGTACCTTGGTGGGGTGTGTAATTTCATCACCAATGTCAAATGACTTCTAAAGATGAAACTTCTCTGATGCAAATGTCTAAAAGATGCTTTGAATATGTTTGATATGATATACCAACTTTTAAGATGAGGAATTAAGTTATCTTTATTTTTTAAATCTGAGACATGCACTCACTGAAGAAATTATTTTAACTGCCACATATGTCAAAAGAGCATGACTTACCCAATAGTGAGATTTTAATAGTCACAAAAACATAAATAGGTAGCATGTAGACCTTCACCAAGATACATTAAAAAAAAATCACCAAAAAGATAGGTCTGTTTTGAGTATTTTGTAAGGACATATGGTTGCATTAACAACGGGTCTTTTAGATTCATGTTACCAGACAGCCCTGCTTGTGTGGTATACACATGACCAGTAAACAAAGCAGAAACTGCTCTGTGCTGTCCTTAAGGTAGCAATACAGGAATGATTCTTCATGATTCTTCAGAAGCTGGGCTTGCTTTACATCCACATGAAATGCTGTCATCACTAGGTCCGAGCCCGGAGGATGAACTGCAGAAAAGGGGAGAGGGGGGGAGGAAAAAAAAAATAAAAGGAGGAAATTGGTTTTCACAACACACTCAAAGCCTGAGTAACAGAGGAGAACTTTAATTATCTCCAGTCACAAAGAGAGACAGGAAATTTGGACTTTTAATTAGCCATTTGGAGTGCAGTTGGATATTTTTTTAGCAAGATAATTTAAACGCGAATAATTCAAGTCTGACTAAATGAAATTCACATAATCAGAATGCAGATAATTGAATTTCTACTGCATTCATTAATTCAGTGTGGAGGTGTGTGTGAAGACTTCTATGATGAGCTGTCACAGCTCAATAAAATCTCAGTCAATTAATTTTTTCATTATCTTAGTATTACATCAACAAAAAAGTGAAGCATGTGCGTGTGTATGTATGGATATATAATCTCAGAAAGTAAGGATATACAGAAATCACCTCTCTGAATCAGAGTCTGCATCGTTTTTTCCTTTTTTTTCTTCTTCATCTTCTATAGGAAAACGTCTGTTCAGAGAGGCGAAACTGAGAATGGCATCAGCAACAGAGAATTTGGTCTGCCCAGACACACAGGCCTCCATGTCCTCTGGGCTTAGCTGAGTCTGTAGGAAGAGGTGCAGCCTACTATCTGAGAGCAATAATGCATCTTGTAGGATCCTGGAAAAGAAAATAAAGGCAAATGTTTATATATGACCTGCACACACACACATATATATATTCCAAAGTGTTTTCCCAGAACAAATTCTAAATGATGTCCTGCTTTTAAAGTTTTCAGATGAATCCTAAATCAGTAACAGAAGGCAATGAACATATTAAAATGATTAGGTGCGTGTTACCTTCTTATTACATTATTTGGAATTTTAGGTGAGTAAAAACATGAAGTTAATAGTTAGGCACATCTGCTATTAGAATAACTTCAAGGACATTTCTTCCATTTAACCATCTGCTATTACCACATGGATCAATTAATGATTTTTAGGCAGTTGGAGGCATATACTCTTTCAAAAATTTGGTCTCTCTTTTTTTTTTAATAGCCAATCTTTTATAAAAATTACAAGTCACCAATTTGTTTGGTGGAGTAAAGAAGTGTGTAAGAGACAGTGTGTAGGAAGAACAGACTTCATACATGTGCAACATCAGGACTTTGGAATACCTGTCAACATCTGAGCCAACACTAGCCAAAATGATTTACACTGTTATGCTGGTTTTCATTTACTTGCAGATAGTTTTCAGGGCCTCTTAAATTTTATTTAATTCCAGCTATTATTTTCAAAAATAGGTTTTAAAATTTGGTTCATATATATTTTAAATTAAACTTCCAAATAAATTTAGCACAGAGTATTTACTTAAAACACAGGAAAGTAAACAAAATACAATACATTCCAGTAACACAGAAAGTTGTAGAGAGACTTTTCCAAGGCCTGAGAATTGAGGATCATCGTTTCTATTTTTAAATAAAATATACGCAACTTTTCTTCAACATTTCTTTAAAGAAGGAATTCTTTACTATACAAATCCTAGAATGATTAACAACAAACTTCTTCAATTTGTGTGTATCGTTTTACTCATGTAATAAAGACATCAAAGGCTATGACCACGCCAAAGAATGCTCCACAGAATATTATTAAAATGTCTTCAAACATCTCAAAGCTACTCAGACTCAATATTTACTTATTTATACCCGTTTAGGCTACAGTTTTTACCAAAAAAAGTCATTGCTGTGCAACAGGAAACAAGAGATGACATTAATGTAAGAACTAGTAAGAGCAGAAAGAAATATTGCATTTTAAAGGTACTCTGACTAAAATGAAAAGTGTAACTGATTAGTTCCTTCTCTTGAATAAGATTAATGGTGTGTTTGGACTGTAACGTTTTAAACACAAATACGTTCTGAAAACTGTTCTCTAAAGCGGCCAAGATTACAATAACATTTAATAAACACACAAAAGGATTTCTGGCTTCATTCAAGCCCATAAAAAACTGTCAAATTAAAGTAAGTAGTAAGAGATATCTACATGAAACCACGAGAGACTTGTGTGCATGCACATTTCACTTGCCTAGGTGAACACGCATTCTCAACCAAACACCTCCAGCTCTGACACCTTCCAATGTGGAAATGTCTCCAACAGCCCTAATGATCTACCAGGTGTGCGTGAAATTGAGCCTCAGAACGACCACATTTTGCTGAAGTTCAAAATAAGCACACTTTTCACACACAGAGAAAGCCTTTTTAATCCAATCTGAGTTCTCACAATTTTAATAGCAAATATATGTCTGTAAAATCAATGTGGGTAATGTATTAATAGACAGAAAAACTTCTTTGTAGTCTAAAATCCAGCAAAGGCTGTGTAAAAGTGATTCAAAACAGAATTTACAGGTCCACACACCTTGACAGCAACAGCTTCATGATTACAGTTTGAAAAGCCATAATTTAGCAGCCACTAAAAGAGGATTTCAGCCTTGACTCTTGATAAACGCACATTCCAAACAAAGAAAAACATTGCAACAAAAAGAAGAGGTATCATTCCAAACAATAAATCCACTTTTATAGTTTATGCAATCAGGAGAGTAAATATTCTACTTCTTTTTAAAAAAACCAAACAAACAACTAAAAGAAGAAAAACAAAAGAAAAATAATGTGCCGGAGTCTCCTGTAGAGTAACTACAGTTACTGTTTTTCCCAGGCACAGTGAGGAGATGCACATTTCTGCAATTCTAACATTTGCGTGTCTAATGCCAAGTAACACAGCAAAAAGCCAAGTCATTAAATTCTGTGAATGGCATTTAGTTTCACAGATTTTTCTCTTGCTCTACCTTCAAAAGTTTCCTGCCAACCAGTGAAAACACAAGTAACTAACTGTTCATGAGATTACACTACACTTACAGCTCTGTTGCTGTTTGAAATGTATTTTATTTTCTTTATAAAATAACGGGTAATCTTTAAAATTGATTTTAGATGGTTTGAGGCATTACACCAGAGAAGTAATGAGCACTAATGTCAATGATATTGGACACAAATTCATTTTAGCTTTATTTCATGTCCAGTACAATTCTGCTAAGCCTTGAACTGCTAAAGCACTGTTATTAACTCGGCAGTAACCTAACACATGGAACAGCAAACAAAAGTGATAAGAGTACAGACTGATCAGGACCTCAAGGCTACTGTCCTTTTTCTGCAGCTATAATTCAATTTCCAATTTTACTTTACACTGGACTCATTATTTCACAGTAATTTTCTTTTCTGCTTCATAGTGCCATCTGGAGGTGAAGGGAGTGAAGAGAAACCAAGGTGCAGAAATGGAAAGATGTTCATAAAGCTAATCACACCCACACTCATATATGTATATATGTGTGTTCACTATGTGTTCACATTGAGACCAAATACTCAATGCATTGTGCAAGTCATTTAAAACCATCCTGAAAGCAGATATACAAATACCTTTTACCTCGTTGTACCCTTGAAGAATTTCTGTTTTCTCTTAATTAAAAAATAACTGCTGCTTTTCCCACCCCCCTCTGAACCAACAGGTTAGACTGCTTTTTAATTGCAAGCTTCAAGCAACCAAACTGTAAAATAAATTCTCCACTACCCCAGGAGTGTTATGCTTTCCTGTTCAAAATACTCTTTCTTCAAGGGAATACCCACACATGTGTCACCAGATGGTACTAGTAGTATTTAGTGCTGGTATAGCAGTTCATCTCTGGGGGCTTTTGCTGTCCTGGGGGCTCACTGTGTGAAGGGCTTGACATTTAAAAACTAGACTTGGCTTTGAGGACTTAAAAAATGAAAATTACAAACCACCACCTAACAAATTAAAAAGGCAGGAGGAAGGGAGGAGCATCACAACATTAACACTCGGATGTGTTCACGGAGGCCGGACGCGTGCGCAGTCTCGACACAGCAGGGAGAGCTCCCAGCGCTGCTCCTGCACTTCCACTGCAGCCAGAGCAGGCAGGGCTGTGCTCACAGTGATGGAAATCAGCGCTCCTGGAGAGTCACGGCTCACGGTAATCATTGCTGTGAACTGGCTGAGCACGCTGACGGGAACAACAGACCTTCCATGCACGCCTGCAAGAACGGAAGGCTAAACCCTGCAAGTCTTGATCCCATCAGCAGTCATTACTTGTCAGAGATTTCACTCCTCTTGGCCAGATTGCTCACATACATAATGACTACTTATGTGATTAAGGGGGCTGCAAGATAAGGCTCTACATTAGAATCAGATAATAAAATAATTTTTTATTCACAGCCATGGGAATCTTTGTTTGTAAGCTTTCAGTACATGCTCATGATCTCTAGACCTTTAGAGAAGCAAGACTGAAAAACATCACAAGCAGAAGAAATAATGTCATTTTTGAGGAAATGCTGGATACTATATGAGGAATATTTCTCTTTTCCTGTGTTATGGCAAAAATATTTACAAAAGAAAAAAGCATGTGCTTTTTGTTATTTGGACAAGGTCCAAAATCTGGTTTTCTTCACCATGATTTTATTATGTATATTATACACTGTTCTGCTGGAGAAAAACAACATATGGCTGAACAGTACAACTTAATCCTAACTAAAGATTTCCTGTATCTACTGTAACCTAATACAATGACAGATGCATACTTGAATGTGTGTGGAAGGTTAACACTCCGATTTTGTTTTCAACAAATTTACTCTGCCCATTTGCAACAGCTCACGAGAGCAAGGGAAAAACCCGAGGAGCTGAGAGACGGATGACAGCCTGTGCTGTGGTGCCCTCTATTGAGCATCCAGCCCCTCAGCCCCAGCCCACACCAAACAAAGCCCCAGTTTCTTCTGTGAAAAAGCTGACTGTATTTCCTCCTTCACATTTTATAAGAGAGGAAATGTTACTGATATCAAGCAACTGTGAGGCAACTGCTGGGTATGTGATAATGTGTGCGGTTAGGAGAAGATTAAGCCACATGTGCCTGCTACACATTATTCCCTCACCAGATAGGAAACAACAGCAAGGTTCCGCTGGAGACAGACACCTTGCCCAAGGTGGTTCCACCTGCCCCACAACTGCCAATGCTCCTGCCTGAGCCCCTGGCAGGGGCAAGCTGGCATCTGTCCCTTTAGGAGCCAGTCTCCTGCTTTCCACATCCCTGAGACAGCACCCAGTGGAGACACCTCCAGAAGAGACCTCTGACCCTGCACCAGCTGCAGCTCGTGGGACTGCAGTGGAAAAGGCAAGGAGGTGCCTGACACCAGGCACCTTCAGAAAATGACTCTGCCTTAGGCAGATGAATTTTGGGTGGCTTCCTCACTCTGGCACCCAGCAAGGCCAGTGCATGGCCCTCTGCAGCAGCAACACTTGTGGATGCCCTCTGTTCCCTGTGGATCCATGCATTTTGTTTCTCAAAACTCTCAGTGTCTTCCACCCCATCATAAACTGCATGTCTGACAAGTAATTGAAGAGTAATCATTCTCCCTAAATCACTAAGTTTTTGGGATCCGACTATATTCAGTTTTTAAAAAGTCATCAAATGAATTCAACTTCATTCAAAATGGCTTTTGTTAATTATTTTTCTCATGAGCAAACCCACTTGATCTTCTCTGAGGGTAATCTAAATCCCAGAGTTAGATCTGCACAGCTACAAATGAATGAAAGCAAAGAGGATCTTGCAGAAGCTAAAATTATAAGATAGTGTTTTAATTTTGACCTCTAGTTTAAGAATAAACTTTTCTGTGAATTCACAGGCATCCTCAAAGGACAAGGATACTTAGCAGGAAAAACACATAATTTTCCTTATTCTTACAAAGTAATTCATAATTGAAAAGGGGCTAGCTGACTTCCGTTAATGCAAATGGCCTCTTGAAATATTAAATTATGCCCAGACAAGAAGTGAGCTTTACAGCTCTTCATCACTCAGAGATAATAACCTGTAAGACAAGTAGATCTTACCCTGCATTTGTGCAGTAAAACCAAATCAAAATGGGACACCTGTTCCCAGATTTCACCAAAGTCTAGTGCTTAACTTCCCAGCTGTTGGCCTAATTCTTGAGCTACTGTGCTCAGCACGGAGGGGCTTCACAAAAGCTCTAAGTACACACTGTGCCCTGTGCTAACTCACCCAGGAGTGGGAAGTGAGGAAAGATAACAGAGCTCTGTAGCCATCCACATATAGGCAATATGGAAGTGTTCCCAGGGCCAGAAGCTGAGCACTAGAGAGCCTCCAGCTGCTCAATCCTGGCTCCTGCACAGGCAGGCACTACAGCAATCTGGTCAGACAGCACATGCACAAACCCGGTCATACAGGCACAGGGCACAAACCAAGACTTTGAAAGATCTAAACCCCCTCTTCAGAGATGTCTTGGATCCTGGTAACACCTGGGAGTCTTACATCACAAGGGGGCATTTAAAAATGTTACCTGCAAACCCCTCCCCAGACAGGTCCACATAGGCTCAAATCTAATTTCTTCCCACTGCCACAAAGAAACGCCAGTAGGATTGTGAGCTTGTCATTGCTGGGGTGAATGGAGCTCTCAGCTTAGCAGTTTTGGGTTAGGGTCTCCCCTTTCTAATGTATCAGAACGTGCAGCATCCAGACCCAGAGCTTCGGTAAATTCCAGTGTGTATGTTAATAAACATTTGTATTATATGTTTATTACATGTAATACCTATGTAACATATGTATATTGTTCATATATGCATACAATACACATAGAACATACATCTATACAGAATATATGTGTATATTTTACATACACACATATATTATACCGATATATTATACACAGGTATATATTATACATAGGTATATAAATATTTTATACTAACTCTCGTTAGGGAGTCCCACAAAATTCAATTTCACAAAAAGAATCGTAACCTTTGGTTCAGCGTCATAGATGGGGGTGGGGGAAAGCATCACAGCAGCTGAGCCAATAGGAAGATCCTTCTGTGAGCAGCAGCACAGCGGAGCCAGCCAGCAGAGGGCAATGGTACAGCACATACGGTGCCAGGCCGGTGCATCTCAACACAACCTCCAAAAATTCCTTCCAAATGCTCCCCAGGGCTGAGAGAAAGCTGGCACTTTTCTTGCACTCAAGTTCAAACATTTAAATCATTCCCTTACAATTGAGTTGCTTCTTTTCCCACTCCTGGACTAACAGCAGCATGGTGAAACGTTCCACATGCTGTCATTTTCTGCTGTACTCATTTAAGCTACAGTCATGCACAAAATTGAAGCATGAGGATGCCTTTTAAGATAATCTACTTTTCTGTTCTGCCTTTTGAAGTGCAGACAGCAGTTGTAAACATTTCTGATGCTGATATGCCTTATTACCAGATAGGCCTCTTTCAAAATGAGAGTGTTTTTTGAAATGCGCTACTCCAAGGGGCAGCACAGCTAAGAAAGAACTGCTCAGACACTGGAACCTGAGCTACCACACTCCATATTATCACTGATATGCTTCTAGGAGCACAGCCCTTCCATTTCACTGCTTTTCTTTCCTGATGTGTAAAAATATTTTCTAATCCTTTTCTGCTTTCTCTTCCCTGTCTCACATGCCTTCCGCCAGTATTTATTGGCTGACCTTTTGGCCACAGATCCTATATAACTGCACGTAGAATATTATTCCTGCAGCAGTTAGCTGTCCCTGCCTTCAGCTGCTAAGCCTAACAAATATACCTCGGGACCAATGATTTGTTGTCTGTTAGGGAGGCTTATAATGCACTGACTGGAAAGAAGATGAATAGTCTCTAGTTGCAGTGTTTCACCATGCCCTTACCCCGAGCAGCAGCTAAAGGCAGTCAGCAGAGGCACACACAGCTCCTGCTCCAGCAGCTGTGAGCAGCCTGCTCTCACACCAGCAGTGCCAGGGCACGACAAGAATGGCAGAGAAAAGGCAGAAAATTATACCAACAGGGCTCAGCCACTGCAGAAGGTGAAGTGGTCATAGCAGTGGGAACAAGGGGTGCAGTACTGAAACTCATACACTGCTCCCTTGTAATGCAGGTCAGGGTCTAGCTAAACCTGATGGATGATTTTATACAGATTGCAGCTGCACTGAAAATGGTCACAGCTGCTAGAGCTTGCTTATGCTAGTGGGACTGGTAAACAAAGCAATTTGCATTTTAGGAAAGCTCTGTGTTAGGAGATCTCACTAGAGAATTCTCCCAGGCTCACAGGGGTTTAGCCCAAAAAGACACTGATTTTCCATGAACATAAAGGGGGGAGCTTTCTTTGTACAAGAATATCCAGCTCCTTATTGAAAGCTAGAAATAGACATCACAGTGAAAGATCTCCCAAACTTAGTATGCAATTACAGAGTGATTTAAATTTAAGCCTATTATCTATAATCAGTGCAATGAAACACAATGGAAAAGCACCAGCTGAAGTCTCCTTATAACCAACCAATAGAGCTGAAGTCACGTGTATGAATTATGACAGTGCAAGTAAAAAAATATAACTAAATATGCAGCATGTACAGATGACCACATGGTGGCTCTCAAGTACCAGAGATGAGCTATTTTAAACCAGAAATTGATGACCTCATAAAAATTCCAACACCTCTGGATAGGCTGTACTCACTTTTCCAGGAATTCTTGTAGACCCTGACGGCGATGGTCTACGTGATTAGGATTGTTCATGTTGAAAAACGGAGTTCTGGATGGCAGTTCAGGTAGCTGTCTTTATAAACAGGAAAAAAATACACAGTTAAACCAAATGTAAAACAGCAGAGAAAAATGCAGAAAGCAAATGCCGACCCCAAGCATGTGAAAATCATGGGTTATGTTCCAGAAGCTCTTGAAATCAATTTGGGAACACAAGGTTGGGAAACTGAAGGGCCTCACACTCCTCAAAGGGGAAAAATAAATTAATCTTATTAAAAATAATTAATTCTGGTCCAGTTACTAAGCCTACATCCATGTCTGGCTGCATTTTATGGGTTTAAATGGAAATTAAAAACTTTTGCCAAATTTTCCCACGGACCATACATTTAGATAGATAAAATGCATTCTACAGAATAAACTTGTGCTAGAAAGAAACACAGGATACTTTCCAGATCTGATTTCTGTAGTTCTCTGAACTAGGATGAAACAATCCTTCCCTCCATGACTGACAGATTATTAAATATATAAAGTTGCTCACATAAGCACTGCATTGCTCTGAAGCCTCTGCCGGAGCCAAACAAATTCTCGATAGCGTCGTCTAACACAGGATGTTTTCCTTGTAAAGCATATACTGTTTGTCTGTTGGGAAATAAAAAACATTTACTTTGCAAATCAGCTTAAGCTAAAGTGCAGGCATGGTATTAACAACACATCCAAAATGTTATACTAATGCCCGAGACACCAATGGAAAGCTTGACATTAATTCAGTTTATGTTAAGGGCTGTGCTTTACCTCAGGCAGGACTGCTGACAGTTTCTACTGCTTCTCAGGGAAATATTTTTCATTGCTTTCTTTTTAAAAGGAAGAGATTTAGATTACAGTACAATCCACAGTAACAGGAAAAACAGACCTCAGAAAAAAGTTTCCGTAGATAATGCCAATCTTTGCAGGGGAAAAAGATTCTAGCTATTCTAGTTACAATCCTGCAAACAGGTACACAGAGTTTTTGCAGTGTGCAGTTCCAACTTAAATCAAACCAAAGAAACCAAAGTGACTGCTCTCTGCAAGTAGCATCATTTGGAGATTTTCCCAAAGAACACTATTAGTTCACTACGAAAATGCCAACTCATCAAAAGAGAAACAATTTGTGGAAATTAAAAGCTTCTGCCAAATTTTCCCACGGAGCATACATTTAGATGAAATCCCATACACCAGACAGGACTCCATTAGTAAAATGCCTGCAGTCCAGCCCAGCCTCCCTGCCTGCCAGGAGCCATAACTACAGCCAGCTGCAAGGTGCAGTCTGCAGAGAGCACAAAGATGTCAGCCTCCTGGAACAGAGGAGTGCACCCAGGACACCACACAGTTTGAGAAGATAAATGCTCTAAGAGCGGGGTAGAAGGGGAACTCAGCTGGCCTAAAAGCCGGGCAGACACAATACTTGGAGTCCATTGAGAAGTCTGGATGGTAGGACTGACCCAGGGACTTGGTGTCCAAAAGCCCTGGCACTGTGGTGGCAGGAAGCTGAACTGATGCTTAAGAGCTTCAGAGATGCTGAGGAATGGATCATATATCACTGTGTGCTGGCTTTGGCTGGGGGAGAGTTAATTTCCTTCATGGTAGCTGGGGCTGTGTTTTGGATCTGTGCTGAAAACAGGGCTGGTAACACAGGGATGCTTTAGTTACTGCTGAGCACTGCTTGCACAGAGCCAGGCCTTTCTGCTCCTCACCCCAGCCCACCAGCGAGCAGGCTGGGGGTGCACAAAACAGCTGGGAGGGGACACTGTCCCAGCTGATCCCAACTGACCAAAGGGATATCCATACCATATGGCATCATGCTCAACAACAAACTAGGGTGGAGGCTGGCTGGGGACTGCCACTGAGGGACTGGCTGGGCATTGGTTACTTGGTGCTGAGCATATGTTTCCATTTGCATCACTTGTCTTTCTACAGTTTTATCTATCTTTCTTTTAAAATTTATTAGTATTGTTATTATTACTATTTAATATTATTATTATTAATGTTATTACTACGTCTTGATTATTAAACTGTTCTTATCTCCACTCATAGGTTTTCTCTCTTTCATCCCCAAATCTGCTCCCTCCAACCTGCTGGTCGGGCAGGGGGGATGTGAGCAAGCAGCTGTGTGGTGCTTAGCTGCTGGCTGGAGTTGAATGAAGACACATTGCATCTAAATAACATCTCCCCATCTCAGCAGTCACTGAGAAAGCCTTAATACACTTTAATTCGGAGGCACTGATGTCTGTGAAACAGTAATACAGCACTCATCCTGCCAAATCTACAGAATTTCTATTTACCAAAAATGAAAAATGTAATTGCTTTCGAAGCAGTACTTGAAGCACATTACAAATTTAAAAGTTTCACAACTCTGATTGCCACACAGGAGAGAAGTACTTATCACACAGGCATTTAATAAGTCATCATTTGACTGCTTGCTCTCATACACTAACTGCTTAACTCTCCACACAATAAGGGAATGCTTTCGATCTTGTGCCAAGCATTAATCATGTAACTTGGTGCTCTCAAATACCTTCATTTTACACTGCAATTAAAATGCTTGGATCTAGATTTGGCAAATTAGGATAACATCTCCCACATGTCATCCACCAAAGAACAATCAAGAAAACAAAATTATGTATAGGACAGATTTATGGCACAAAAGCACTATAATGCCAAGTGGTCTCCCATTAACATATGGTGGACTACAATCACAAACCCAAACGCAACCACTTCACACATCCAAGCACCACTAAATTAGCATAATATGAATGTGAAGGTACACTGAAAACAACCACATTGCAGCAACCAATAACTTGGCAAAAAGAACTGAGGAGAATTTAAAATACAAATAACCAGATAATTACTTGAAAAGAAAGTTGTTTTCCCATGAATACCTGAACATCAACATTCTTCTACGACAGTAAGATATCACTGTCTGTAACAGTCTTCTAGTTGATAAGTAGAGCTAAGGATTGGCTGTTGCAAGACACTGTGGAATGCACATGTGAGCACATTAGGTTCCACCCCAGCTCTACTAAACCTACGAAGCGGCCATTGGCAAACACACTTTACCTGTTCCACTGCATCCCAGTTGTTAAAAGGAGAATAATAGCCTCCAGCATCCCAGAAGCAGAAATTCCATTAATACCCCAAAGACAACCCTGGCTTGGAGAGAAACAGCAAAAAGAATCTGTTCTCATATTTTTATACTTACGTGAATAAATATCTCATAGTCTATGTAAGAATGCCATGAGTCTTCTTTCTGTATCCTGGGGTCTCGCACCAAGACAGTTACAAATTCCTGTAAGTGCATAATAAAAATCAAGCAATTAATTTCAGAAGACAAAGGCAGCCTTAAAGACTCTCTTGATTGTTCTGCTGTTCCACAAACTACTGAGTCAGATTAAAAGCTGAACTGCTGTTTTATTGAATTTTGCAACCCTATAAATGGAGAAGCATAAAGCAATGAATCATCTGAGCTACACCACATGCCTGGGAAAGTCCCTGCCAAATTGCTAGCTGAAAAGGAATATTTCAGATTAAGTAACACTGTGCAAAGTCATACATGTTTCATGCATGGCAGATGAGATCTTGGCAGGGACAAACTGAAAGTCTAACATTCAAAGTCACCCATGTAAAGGAGGAGGCGGCAGGTATTTCAGGCTCTTCCCACATTTGTAATCAACACTGACAAAGAGCACAGCTGCAGATGTGGCACTGGGGGCATTTCTGTTCCATCAACCTGCCCAGGGAAGCAACACAGCTACACTGCAGGGCAAAATTCCCCATTTCGAAGGGACAATCATATAGAGTATTTGCTGTAGAAGTTGTCATATCTAGCTTACTTACTCATGATTTCTACATTTATGTAATAATATAGAGGGGTTTCAAGAGAGAAAGAGAAGGCCTGTGGATGTTACTGTAATGTAACACTAATGGGAATTGGAAGATACTGAAGAATTAGATGTTTCTCAATACTTTCAGCTAATGATCAAAATTTTGTTGTAGAAAAAACAAAACCAATCCAAACCCCCAAATCCTCATAAATCTGTATATTCATGCTAGGGTGGAAAATATTCCTTTAAAATACAAAGGTCAAAAGTGTGCTTAAATACCAGCTACTTCAGGAGTACATGTAAAGTCTGCCCTACTCCAATTGCATAAATAAGCTATTCACCCCAAAAGCTAAGCCAATCACTTAGCAAAGACTTAAAGAAAAGTGTATCACTTTAAGCTGTAGATGTATTCCCCCTGAGAGGAAGGCACTGCGCAGGATCTCCAGGTACAGGAATCAACTGGGGGAGGAATGACAGTATCTCTGGTAAAAAAACCATGCTTTTTTTAGTGCATACTTGCATAAAACAAGAAATCTTGAACTAGAAAGCTCTCCAAGCATGTCTTCCTATGTCCAAACCAAAGGCATCAGAAATAAAAGCTTTATTCCTCAGCCAAGTATTCTCCCCTAAAACACATCTGCATGTACCACCATTGCAAACCTTCAGTGGACTGACAGGAGAACAATAGCAACCTTGAAAGATGAAGATACACTTTTTCCTGGACAGCCATTGTGCTCTGTAGGTAGCAGAGAGACATTCAAGGTCTGGATGAAATATTTTCCCTCCCTGATTTCCAGGTGTCACTGAGATGGGGAGCCTGTGGCCTGATGGCTGGACACAGCTTTTGTTTTCATGTTACTTAGCCCAGCTCCTGGTCCCAGGGGTGTTTTCTGTATAATTGGTGGTTACTTTTCTGGTGAGTATCATGAACACCTTGCCAAATAAAGCACATTTGAAAGGCTCCTCCTGCCACCTCTGCTGCTTCTTTCATCGCTGAAGAGCACCAGAGGGCCAATTCTCCCCTGCAGCTTTTTAACCTCATGCCAGCATGACACAAGAGGAACAAATGATCAGAGCTTTAATCATTTCTACCAGCTGAGGGTCATGCCTTTACTTTTACAAAAACACTAGTAGGGCCTTATGAGGAACTTATTTCAGCTCCAGAGAAGATATTCAGCAATGTGCTGAACACCGGAGAGGACACCATTTTTGGGTTGTTTTTCTCCACTTGCCTCACTGCCTGTAGTATTTACCATACACAGGTAGGTAGGTAGGCAGGTAGGTAGGTAGACTTTCAGACCCACTGTACCATCTTTTTATGCCACAAGGTTTTGTCTTCCCCAAATTCCTATTTCCCTGTGTCCCAATCTTCTCCAAAGCTGCAACCACTTCTCAACATACTTTCTTTCCTGTGCTGAGCACTGAATGCATCAGTCCTGCAAGTGGAAGAAGAGAAATTATGCCAAGAAGCTTCGAACAGGACACTGCACTCATTTTCCCTTCAACTGCTGCAGCACAGGAGTCACAACCTCAGGCAGCCTGCCTATAACCTGACCTCAGACTCCTTCCTCTCATTTACTGCTGTATCAGCCTCTTATTGACTTTCCTTTTGTCCAGGTTCCCCAAATTACCCCATTTCCAAATAACCTTCCATAACCTTCTCCTTTGTACAGAATCAAAACAGTCTTTGAAGTAAAATACTTCTTTCAAACCTTTACAGTACCAAAGTATTGTGATTAAAAGTTGCTATTGGATATGCTGCTGGTTAGCTATGGTTTACTTTGCAAATCATTCCAGACCACAAGATTTGCACTGGAAAACTTCTGTACACTTTTAACTTGCAATTAACTAGTCACTGAGTTTCAACAAGGAGGAAGTTAAAACCCTTCAGACTCTACCTACAAAAGAAATGTGACCGGCTGTATATGCAGTGGCAGAAAGTGTCTAAGCAGTAAAGAACTGAGCCAAGATGAAAAATTATGTGCAGAACAGCAGAGCACCTCAGCAAATTGCAGCCCTCAGACACAGTCACTGTCAGCTTTGATTTGAAACACTAGGATTTCAACAGAAGACTGGGTCTTCCTTTTTTCCCCCCGTTACTTACCGAAAAAATGACAATACTGAGTTTAGAATGAAGCAAGATAAACAGTAAGCAACTAGAAATGAAAAATAAAAATGTACAGCCTTTCTCAAGATTTAGGGTTACTTCCCCTATTTATCTCTTGAATCCAGGAAGTGTTATTCCCATTACAGATTTTGCTGCTCTGAAACAGTGGCATTGCACATATAGACTGTTCCTTCTCTTGACCTTTAAGTCTTCTCCAGAATACAAGATCCCACTGGGAAAACAGCATTGCTCTAATCAAAGCAGACTAACCACCCAGTGTAAGTGATGATCCACTGCCAGAAAAGGTGCCTATGTTTTTGTATCCCTAGAGTAAAGGTCAGTATTCACATACAGGCTAAGTTATGGTCCAAGCAGAGTTGGGTGGCAGAACACTCACTCTTCTGCGAGAATGCTGTTTATATGCTCAGTGCATCCTGCATTCACTGGTCACAAACAACCAGGAGATTACAGCAATACTGGGTAATAACTGCCTTTCTCCTCTCTATGTATTCCACTCCCTCCCCATTTTGCTATAAAACTGAGGACACTCTCAATAGATAAGTCTTTTCTCAAGTAAGGCACTGTCCACCTGGGGGAGGTGATGCTGACCTCTCCCTCCCATAGACCACTTAAAGGCTAACTTAATCACCTGTCACAAAACTGCACTGCAGTCCAGCTGTACAACATGGGAGACTCAGTACAAAGACAGCCAAGGTTTCAGGGACTTTTTACTTTCGCCAGCTGCAATCCTGTACAAGGTGTGCCCCCCCTCCTACCCAGTGCTGCTTTGTTTTTCCAGAACTGCAGATCTATCTAGCTATTATGTCACATTACTCGTATTTTCAGTTTTGGTTTTTTGTTGGTTTTTTTTCTTGGTTGTATTGTTGGGGTTTATTTGAGTGGCACAATATATATATCAATGCATTCAAGAATATGTGTCCTCTAACGCTTCAGAGCAACAATTCTCTCAAAACCAAAATTTCCTGTTAAAAGTGTCCAGGCTTGGGCAAGGAGGCCTCTTGCACTGGAAACAGTATATACTCAAAAGAAAGGTACTGGAAGATGTGGCATCTCCATTTATTACTTCTCTCTGAAAACTACTAAATTTAGAGGCAAACAATTTTCTGTCCAAACTGCTAAAGCTATAGCTTTGATATGGAGCCCAGCAGCCATGCTGACCTAAACATCCTCATGAATATTCAGAATCTTCAAATCTGCCCCAAAAGCAGTCAGAACTACTTAACAAGCAGGAATTGCAGAGCAGTTTCTCTGGCTGCATGTGCCTTTTAATTCCTGGCTAAACCAGCCAGTTTAAGCATGGCACTGGTGGTATTTTGCTACCCTGCCCTCAAGGCCAGGAGCAGTCCAAGCACATAGGGTCACACATAAATGACAAAACAGCCAAAGTGACACCCAAACTTGGATTACACCTACTCCCTCATGGTTACAGATCCATGCAAAGAACATGAGTGTTGACAGGAGACTATAAGGACAGCACTGAGGTCACACAGACACAAGCATGGGAAAAAAAAAAATGTTCCATTTTGAATCTGCCTCAAAAGGAAAAACAACCCATAAAGGCAGCTGAAGCAAATACAATAAATCTTTCTCTTTTAATTTTTCTGTTTCTTTTTTTCTTCCCCCTCTCTCTTTCCTTTTCTTGGATATATTTCTGCATAATGCAATGGATTCCTCAGAGAAAAGGATAAGGCAGAAGCCTTCTTATACAGAATTTGACCACAAAAAATGTGCCTTTCTCAGAAATCTCTTAACATTTTCCTACTAGGAAAACAGGAAATCTGACACGGAAATATCTATTTTTAATATGAGGGGAAAATCTGCCACAAGAAGGAGGAATAAAAACAATCTCACATTGGTTGACTACTTGTATTTAATCATTTCAGCTGCATTTTAATTCAAACGTCTATGCTCAAGACTGTATCAGGTGATGAGCTTGTGCTCCTATTACACATGTGATTAGTCAATAACCCCTGAAGAGTAATTTTCCACAAAGCTTCCAAGAAAAATAGCATATCCCATCAGGTTGCCTGTTAGTAAAAGGATCAGCCACAAAGGACATGGGACTTTTCATGCTGTGGCTGTTGGCATCTTCACTCCATGCATGCTGTGTAGTAAGGCTGATAAGAGACTAAGAGCTGAGACAAAATAATTTGTTGAAACTTTTAATGTTCATTGGACTGAGCAGAAGAGAACATGCAAACAGGATTCTTGTGGTCCATGCAGCTGATAGTCAGAGCTCAGACCCAGATCCAACCATTGTCCCTATAAAATATCTAAAACTGATAAAAAGAAGACTCCATCCAAATCCTTCTCCCCTGTCTCAGTGTCTGAGCCCTTTATGCACAGTCACTTACTCTGAATGAATATCTGATTCTTCTATCAGATTTTAACAGAAGGAACTGGCACTGCATCATTCCAGAATATTCTGTATCCTGGCAACTAAAAGTATGAAGAATACAACCAGTCTTCTCTAATCCATGCGAATTGTAATGAAATTAAATCCACAACTTGAATCCTTTTTTATTAAAGCTTAGATACCACTTACCTGTTTTTCATGTTTTGGCGTCATCTTCACTGGTTTGTAGTAAAAAAAAAATCAACCTGGAAAAAACAAAAATAGAATAGACATCAGATTGGTATTTAGTAGTTATTTAAAGGTCATTATCACTTTTGCCCTTTATTAGTAGACAGTGGAAAAAGCCAGGCTTAGTGCCATATATGGCAGGAAACACATTGCATTACCTGTGTATCTCATAATTTATTCATTTTTAAAATAATCCCTTTTCAGAAGCACTGGGCTAGTCCCCTTCTCTATACATTTGTCATACTTGACAGTCCAGTTCATCTCTGGAAGTCAGTGCTTTCCTTCTCTGCTCCAAGAGCCATCTCAGGGCTCATCCTCACACCCACCTCCAAGAGCTCCGCCGAGCCAGCATTCCCAGTGCTCAAACACAGCAGAGGCAGTGCTGCCTGGGCCTCACTCCCAGGGAACCAGAAACAAGTCTGTGGGACTGCAGCTGAGGTCCAGAGACCCAAAAACATCTGAGTCAAAAGAATCAAATGCTCATCTCAACTATCTTCCTCAAACTTAGAGAAATGGAGATGCAACTGCTTGGATCCCTCAGGAGAGCTAAAACTCAGGCTAAATTTCACAGCATCTGTGTTTTCAAACCTCCATGTAGGGAGGGGATAATTAGACCAAAACGAAACATCTTGTCATTAACTTATATTTTAAATCTCCTCTTCTGCTGAAAATCCCAATAAATTTTTAACTGTGTCAGCAGTCCAATAAACTGGACAGTTTGCTCAGGACAGGTGCCCACATGGGAAGAGCAGGACAGCTTTATTTACTTGCCAGGTTATATACACACCATCTCCTGTTTAGTGATATGGAGCTTGAAGCTGCTCTTGTTATTATACAACTACATATTTATGTCAAGACCAGCCAAGGAGTGCTGAACACCCCACCCCTGCCCAATGCCTCTCACAAACACTTTCAAATAACAAACCCCACCCATTTTAATAAAACAGAGCACAAAGATAAGCACATATACATTTCTTGGACCAGGAAGTTACTCTGGAACAGCCAACCACTTTGTTGTCAAATTTCTATAGGGTCAGTCATATCAAAATAGGATACTCTGTTTCCAAATAAAAATGACCGTACATAAGACTTCATCCTAAAGGGTGCCATTGTACAATTCCCATTTCCATAAAGATAAGGTCATCATTTCACTTCTATAGCTAGAATGGTAGTGATAAAGTAGGAATAACAAAAACATATTTAAATATTATTTTTTTTAAAACTCCATTTGTATATGCTTAACTAGCATGTATGTTCCAAGTTATAGAAGAGCACTCAAACACTTCTTGCTGCACAGGCTCAGCAGTGTCAAGGCTCTCTGCAAGGTGAGGGTAAAAATTCGGCTCACTGGGGCTCACTGGGGCGAACTGCTGTTAATGCAAAAGTATATTATAAACTTTCCTTTTAGGGAGATAATTGGCTTTTTACCTCACAGGAGGGCACCAGCACACATCACAGGCCTTTCATGGAATTGCATAATCATTTAAGCTGTCTCCAAGATCATCAAGTCCAACCTTTGACTGACCAGTACCTTGTCCACTATACGATGGCACTAAAGCCCATGTGAAGCTGTTTCCTGAACACCTCCATGCATGGTGACTCCACCACCACCCTGGGCAGCCCATTCCAATGCTTAACAACCCTTTCTGTGAAGAAATTCTTCCTGAGGTCCAACCTGAACCTTCCTTGGTGCAGCTTCCCCTGTCACTGACTTCCCCTTGTCACCACCATGTGCTCTTCCCCTGTCACTGGCTGATCCCCAGGCAGCCCCAGCCTCCTTTCAGGCAGCCGTAGGGAGCAGTAAGGCCTGGCCTGAGCCTCCTTTTCTCCAGGCTGAACACCCACAGCTCCCGCGGCTGCTCCTTGTAGAACTCAGTCTCCAGACCCTTCCCCAGCTCCTTGCCCTTCTCTGGACTGGCTCCAGCACCTCAATGTCCTTCACAAGTGGGGGACACAGAACTGGACACAGGACTCGAGGTGCAGCCTCACAAGTGCTGAGTACAGACAAAAAAACCAACTGTGTTGGGCTCAGGCTGTTTGAAGAAGATTCTTTCTGCTATCTCTCCCCACTGAGTACAGCTGTAAACCTATATAGTTTGATGTAATTTTCCCCCCTTTCTCGTTTGAATGCGCTGAGGTTTTTTTTCAAAATGGCAATGCAAAATTTTTTTCCAGTTATGTATCTTTATTCCATCAAATTCTGCAGAGTGTTTCTCTCCGGCCTCTAAGCTGATTTAAGTGAGAAATTATGCAAGCCCAAAATATCTCATTCCTAACACTGTTAGCAAATGACAAGGCTGAAATAGCAGGTTTCATTCTGTCATCTGTTTTTCTAATGACCAAGTTATGTGTTAGTGCAGGTTAGCAAGAACAGCTTAAACTCCAAACAGCCACCACAATTTTAAATATTTAATGGCAAAAATTTAATATTTCAACACCAAAAAGCTTCCTAAAATATTTAAAATACATCAGTTTTTCATCAAGTAATTGGGAAAAAAAAATCAATAATGGAAATGCAAGCCCCCAAGGCTGCCTTTTTTCACTGATTTCAGTGAGATTGCCCAGTCATGCTGCAGCCACTTGCAAATATACTGAATGCAATATTCTGTCTGGTAGCAAGACATATATTTGGGAACCTCTGTAACACTTAGAGAAGCCAGTGAAGCAGAACACACAGCAAAGCTAGTGAAACTTCTGCTTAAGAAGTTATCTTTGTATCTTGAGAAAAAACTACTCAAAATACCAGTGATGGAGAAAAACAGCCATCAGAAGACAAACAGAAGGCTTTTGGTCTTTTTACTCTAAGCAAAATTTCCTCTGACAGGGAAATGAACAAGTGCTGGGAAACAGAATCAAAAAAAGCCAGTGGTCGGTCTGTAGTTTTGATAAAACACTTTCTGCTGAGGGTGGGAAACCTCCCCCACATTGCTTTGAGTAAGTTTTTGTTCTGCTTCTGATCCATTATCAGTCTGAAAACTTCTCTTTTTTTTTTTTTTATTAGTTTCATATGCTATATCAACCGCTTCTTGCAGTACATATTTTTTTGGTTCTCAATTGCATAACCAACAAAACTGCCAGGGAACAGCTCCACAGCTGCTAACAGCAACCCCTCAAAAGCAAAAAGATTACGTAGGATGAATTGCCATACTTCCTGTGCCTGAAAAAGAACCAGGAAGAAGAGGGAGGAAAAAACACAAGTACTGCAGTACTTTTCTTAGGGAGAACAGATAAACTGCAGTGCTCTTCTTAAGGGTAAGAGATAAATAATATCAAGTATTATATTTTATTTCATATTTTAGAGATTAGTTTCTGTTTTAAAATCTAAATTAAAACAGATAATCTAACATTACTAGGGATATACCCTTTTATCATGTAGATGGACTGCTCCTGAAGGAGGAAGTGATTTCTCCCCAGCATTCTCATACTGAAAGATGAAAACTCAAGCAGCAGTGCAGACAAAAACCACATCAGCTTGCTCTAAGAACAGCATGAACAAATGCCGGCCCTCCTGGCTGCCTCACCAATAGCTGTATTTAGCTGCACTGAAATTGTACAATTTCACTCATTACTGGGCAGTGACCTACGCAATATCCTTATCTGCCCTGGGAGTGCTCATGCATTCCATGTGGTCAGTGTTTCCTCTCAAGGATAAATGCTGCTAGTCAGCTCATCCATCCATCCACCCATCCATCCATCCATCCATCCATCCATCCATCCATCCATCCATCTTTGGTTATTTTTAATCATATAACTAAATGACCACCTTCAGGCTTTAAACGGGAAGTGTGATTTAGTTTTAGACCTTGGTGATGATTCAAAGTACTATCCAGTCATAAGCAAAGTCCTCAGCTGTGCTTTCGGGGTTGTTCCCACTATCAGTATCAAATGAAACTTTAATTCAAGGCTTCAATATGACCAAGAAAGAGAGAAAAATTGAATCTCTAACTGCTCACAAGTCTTTCCTGCATTTTGTGGTTTGCTCACCTTAAGACTCAAACAAAGTCATAAAAATTTTCATTTAGAGCCTGTAGAAAGTTCAGCTGCATCCATACATGGAGCTCACTGTCAAAGAACATGCCCATGTGCACCTGGCCACAATATGTTCCTGAAAGGCAAGCAATCTGTGTGGATTTGTAAGGAAAATACACAGGCAGGGGTGATGGCGGAACTGGGAGGAACAGGAAGAATAATAAAGAGACGCTCTGGAAAGCTCAAAAAACCCCTAAACCTATAAAAACACAGCATTTTGTGTTGCCAAATTGACCACATCCTAACACAGCTTGGCATTTACAGCAACTGGATACATGGCTGTCACAGAACTACTGCTCTTGTTGATGGGAAAAATCTTATTCAGATGCTGCTCCTCAAGCAGGGACTTTCGGTCGATCCACAATAACTCAAACTCAGCATAAGCTAATGCCTTCTACTTCACCTGCTCCATTTAACACCTGGGGCCAACCCAACTGTACTGATCAGACCCATGAGTTCACTTCTGTTCCTCACTGTCCATGAACCAGATGGTGAGCACTGAAACTCCACACTGTGCAGGTCACAGAGCACATTTCCTCTTTTCATCTATCCTGATGGTTATTTGCCTCGCCCTCAGCAAATTACTGTAAGGATCTGCTGGTCAAAAGTGAAAGGAGTATGAAAGTCATGAGCATTTTCATCTGTACACAAGTCAGGGGTGTGCAGCCTGCTTAGTGAAGTCCACAAAATGAAGTACCCCTTGAGCAAATCCTTCTCACTTCCCAGGATCAAAGTACCAGTTTCATCAGTGTTGTATCACAGTAGGAGCACAATCACTTCACTGCTGAGAAAAAAATAAGCACACTGTCTAAACTGCTTTTAAAAGAATAGGAGTTTTCCAAACCACCGACAGAATTCACACACCTTCCTTTCCACCATAATACAATGTAGAAAGGCACTGCCAAACATCATCCCTTTGTGGCTGCACTTGAAATTCCCAGGCACTGTTGCCAAGATGCTTAATTAACTACTCCTTCCTATGG